TCACAGTTGTCTATTTGGTCTTCTGCTTTTGGTAGTTTTTAACTATTATTGACTGTATTTATGCCATGTAGTAGAGCCCCTAAGTCTGTCCCTATTTTTCCATTGATGGTCTTTATAGTTACAGTTTTTACATTTAATCGCTAATCCACACTGAGTTTGTTTTTGTGTATGGGTGAGGTATGGGTCTTGTTTCATTCTTTTTCAACTGGATTTCCATGTTTTCTAGAACCATTTGTTGAAGAGGCTAGCCCTTCCCTATTTAATGTGTTCTTTGACAAAGATCAGTTGACTGTATGTGTATAGATTTATTTACTTCTAGGTTCTTAATTCGCTTCTATTGATTTACGTGTTTTTCACTGTACCATTACCACACTGTTTTGACCACTATGGCTGTGTAGTAAATTTTGAGGTATCAAAGAGTGAAAGGCTTCCAACTTTGAAACCACTCATAAAGCTAAAGATGGCTGCGCCTATCTGGTCAGCAGGCATCGGTCATTAGTTTCTCCTTTTGCTGTCACATCTGCTCTACTCTCTCTCCTGGTAAGCATTTAATCCACTTTTCTATCCCTTTTGCTTTCTCCATGTATAATATTCTTGATGTCATCCTACAACTCCTTTGTTCCTTGGTTATTAATGCTTAATGTATCAAATTTGTTCCTGAGCTATTCTCTAAATTCAGGTGGATTATACTCAAGGTAATATTTTGACTCTCATTGACTTGTTCTAATTTTCTATAGCTTCAGCCTGAACTTCATATGAGCAATAGATGGTATCTTCCACAGTCCAGCCTTGGTCACCTTTTAGCTGATGATATTGAGCCATTCTGTCATCTCTTCCCACAAATGTAGTCAAGGGAAAGGGGAAGAGAAGAAAAGAAAGGAAAAAAATTGGGCACTGGGTAGGACCCAGAAAGGAGGAAATTGTGGGCAGCAGGACTCCTAGTATAGATGAGCACCCTTTGCCAGCTAAGGAACTCATGGAGTGAGGGAGCAGATTAGAGATGGGATGCCTGTTTCTAGGTGGAGTTCCTGTAGGCCTCAATGTTGTCTGGTGTCAGGACACATAATCCAGAGGTAATTTGTGCTGGCTCAGAAGGTGGCTGAAGTCAGGGTCCTTGTTTCTGAAAGGAACTTCTTTCAAAGCTGGGAGAAAGTTGGCTGGTTATGGAAGGAATTTCTTGGCCTCCCAGGGTTGGCTGACATCCATTTCTTCACATTCTACTGGGATCCAGTACTGCACATTCTTCGGGTTTGTTGAAGTTCAGGCTCCTCCAGATGCAGGAGCGGTGCACCCTTTTTGGCTCCAACCTCAGGCAGAACAGGGGTTGTACAGGGTAGAGGTTGTCACTAGCCGGTTGGTAGGTGAGGTTGGGGGCTGGCCACACTTCTGATTACCATTTTCATTGCCAGTCACCAGAGTGCACTTGTGTTAAAATTCCACTGTTTTGATGGAATGCTACTCGCAAGCATTCAAAATGACTGTGACAGTTCACTCGTCTGTCTCTTCTCTCGTCATTTTTATTCAGCATCTTCTCTTAAGTCGGTATTCAATCCACTCCTGGATCCTTTCCTCTGAAGCTTAGGGTTCCAGGTTTATCATTCTTAGAATCTCTTTCATTTTCTCTCTCAAGTGTTTGTTGTAGTTGGTCTGTGTGGTATGTCTGCCTAGTCTGCTTCTTGCCAGAAGTCTTCTGCTGAATTTTGTATTGAATTGCCTTTTTGTTATTAATAAATTTTGAAATCAGTCCCTTGTCAAATATGTTGCCAAAATTTTTTTCTCAACCTGAAGGACTTTTTTTTTTTTTTTTGCTTCTATTGAAGTCTTTTGATGTGCAATAAGTACTTAGTTTTAGGAGGTCTCAGTTGTCTCGTTTATCTTTGGCTGTTTGTACATTTTTGGTTATGTTTGATAGACTGTTTATGCCATAAATTAGAGTCCTAAAGTTTTTCCTATTTTTTCTTCGATGATCTTTATAATTTTAGATTTTACATTTTATATCTTTGGTCCATCTTGAGTTGGTTTTTGTATAAGGTGTGAGTTATGGATCTTGTTTCATTTTCCTGCAAATGAATATCCAACTTTGCCAGAACCATTTGTTAAAGAGACTGTCTGTTTTACTTTTAATGGATTTTGGCCCTTTGTTGACGGTCAGCTGTTCATAGGTGTGGATAGATTTACTTCTGGCTTCTCAATTCTGTTCCACTAATTCTGTTTCTGATGTACCAGACTCAGCTGTTTTGACTATCTTGGCTGTAGAGTAGGTTTTGAGATTGTGGATATGTTAGGCTTCCTACTTTGTTCTTCATCAGTAGTGTTTTGCTTATCTAGGGTCGCTTTCCTATGCATATAATGATGGTGATTGGTTTTCACTTTCTTTAAAGAATACTGATAGAACCTGGATTGGGATTGTATTATATCTGTTGATTGCTTTGGGTAGTATTGACATTTTCACATTAAGTCTTTGGGGACAGAAATCTTAAGTTGCCATTGTCTCCTATCTTTTTCTAATTTTGCTTTTGTGTTTCTTTTTCTACTAGTAGATAATCCGAGTTTTCAAATTTCTTTCAAATGAAGGTTGAATTTTAGTTATTTGTGAATATTTGCAACCAAGGGGATGTTCCTTTCCTATAGGGTGATTGTGCTAAATAATGTTTTAATCTGTTGTCACTGCTAAATGTGATCTTGTGCTGGAAACTGTCTACAAGGATAAGTCAAAAAGTGTTGCTAATACAGTTTCAGTTCACACGTGCATGGATTTATTTAAAACGAAACGTATTAAATGTGTCTTTGTGATCAGCGAATGGCTGCAGACAAGTTCTCTCAGTTTTAGTCTTGGTAGAATGTCTTCAAAAATGGATGGCTAAAAAAGAGAAAGCATGTGGAAACATTAGCTAGCTCAAAGAATGAATCTCTCCATTAGTCTTGTATTTAAGAGCCAAGATAATGAAGGCAATTTTATGGAATGAATTTAGCAGTATGATCCAGATAACAAGATCCAATCATAACTGGTTTCTGAGGAGATTTGTTCAGCCAGTTAAATTCAAGAGAAGTTAGCTCAGAAGGTTATAATGACTAGTTTGGGGGGAATCCCAAAGGAGTGATCTTGATAGATTTTCTGGAATGTCATGGATGATCATAGAGGCTTATTATGAAGAATTTTTCAGAAAATTGAAAGTGACATTGGTGAGAAAAAGGCTAGGAACGTCATGCTGAGAAATTTTTTTCTCATCAGGATAGTACACCTACTCATTGTTCGAGGGTAATTTCTGTTTCTGTGGGAAACTTTACCCCATCCAATCTGTATGCCTAATCTTTCCCTTCAAACATCATTTTGTTCCCTAAACTCAAGTACCATTTAAAAAAAAAAAACAGTTTGAGTCCCGTGAGAATGCCAAAACTACCATTTTGATGTGGTGTAAGTCAAAGAATGCAGGCTTCTTCAGGGAAAGTTTGAAGAAATGGGAACACTGCCTTCATTCATAAGTGTATAGCTCTAGATGGAGACTATGTTGCAAAACAATGGCTCCACATTTTGATATTTTGTTTAATAAAGGTATGTATGATTTTATAGCAACACTTGTTTTTACTTACCCTTGATTGTGTTTGCATGTATATATGTGTATGTGTTCGTGTGAATATATA